CTCCTAACAATGCTCTATAGTAGTGTTGAAAATTTCTTTCTCTAAGTGCAAGGTCTGAATACTGAATTTCTTCTTTTCTATATTGTCGTAATTCTTCATATAAAGCTTCTATCTTTGGCTTTGCCTCTTCTAATGTAATAAACTTTATTGCACCTGTTATTGAGGCTTCTATCGCTTGTTCTATCATAATTGCTTTTTGTTTCTCAGTTAATCATACTAGTTCTTGCTAAAAAAATATTTGTCTTTCTTCATAGTTTCTTGGTCGTAAGTCGGCTGCTACTTGTTTTTGAAGCTTTCTTTCATCAATTTTTACCGAGTATTCTATATGATTTGTTGTTTTTTTGTTGTTGCTGGTTTGCTTCACGTGACTTGTTGTTTTATAACTATTGTTAGTAGTAGTTGTTGTTTGTTTAGTACTGTTGTTTGTTTTTGTTATGTAGTTTTTAACATATTTCTTTTGTTTATTCTTCATTACATATTGTGTTTTTTGTATCACCAAAATAGATCTATGATTCAGGGTCAAGACCAATCCCCCAAAATTTTCTAAAGTGCAAAAAAATATTGACGATTTTTCACGACTTCTTCTATTTCTTTGCTGCTTCAAGTTTTCACAACTCAAGTCTCCTAAGAGATTGAGTGTTTCTTGTAGTCCTCTTCCTTTTTACTTAGAGCTTCGAGTTAGGTTTTTTAATAGCTTTTGTATGTTTTTTGTAGTTTTTTACTTAATTTTGTTTTCTGAATTTTTGTGTTTTGATGATTAGCAGAAAGAGTTTTTGAAAATATTAATTAATTAATTAAAACTTATAATAAAAATTCATATAATAAAATTTAAAAATACTTACGTTTTGATTAGCCTATTATGTGTTATGTGACCTGTGACAAAAATGTCATGTAACAGGGTGCAACAAATAAATTTATCCATAAGTTAATATAAAAAAGTTGATTTTTTAAAATTTAAAGAAGTTTTTATTAAGTTAGGGTTTGTTGAGCTTCTAAGTAAAGTTGTAAAGAAGATTTTCAAGATATTTGGGTTAAAGATGCAAATATAGAGATCTGCAAATTGGTGGTTACACAAAGTATTATAGTCTTTAGTATTTTGTATAACCACCAATTTGCAGATCTTTATATTTGCATCTTTAACCCCAAATATCTTGGGATCCACTAAGGGCAATGACAAATATTACCTAATATTGATTTGCTATAAGCATCTACCCCCACCCCCAGGTAAGATACCAATCAAAATTAAATCCAAAATAAAGTAATCTGATTGGCTATCAACTACTGAGACTCTTCAAGTACTATCATGTGCCCTATTAAAATAGTGTGCATATCGGTATTCGCAAAAACGTTTACTTAACAAAGGAGACTCCAACAAATGCATGATTGTTAAACTTATATAGCAAAGCGGCTTTCACTTTATTCTAAAACAAGAAATTTTCTATGTGTATCTACATACTTTGTATTGCATTAAAAATCAGTTTTGAAAAATTACCCGTTCATCCATACTTTGCAAACTGTATTTTCTTTTTTTTTTTTTTTAATTTTTTTTTTCATACACGAGTTGAAAGTAAAATGAGCAAACAATTTGAAAATTATAATTCTGGTAGACAAAATAAAGGTAGCAATTCCAATAGTCAAAATGATGGCTTCCGCAACTAACAAGGCATAGGTACCAATAAAGATGAAAAAAAGGCATTTCGCCAAACTTTTTTTTTAACCCCCAAATATAGTAAAAATCTGATTTATAAATCACCAGAAAACAAATATCAGAAGTTTTCAAATGCTTATGTATATAAAATCATGATAAAAACAGCAAATGGTACTCCTAATCATGCTCAAGTTTGCTGCGAAGCAACACAGGAATGGAACAAAATTAAAACTAAAGGTGCAGAGAAAATTGACAGCATAATCAAAACATATTTGTCCACGCCATTTAATTTATATGATATACAAACAATAAAACCAAACCATTTTATTCCTGAAGAAAGTTTAACGCCTTCCCTTCCTACTATCTATTCAGTAGAACCTATATCTGAAATCCCAGCAAATGCAGTGCACAAAAAAATACGGCAAGTGAAATCACAATAGCTAAAGAAAGACTTTCAGAGCTTAAGCAAATGTACAACATTACAACAGACCCTCAGTTTCGATATGATATATATACAAAAATAGAAGTGCTTCAAAAACAAGTAAAAGCTAATAAAGATAGAATCACTAAGTTAAAAAGAAATGCAAAGTATGTTCAAAACTGTAAAGAGAAAAAAAAAAATTACTCATCAAAAATCAGGAAGTAATTAAATACGATCGGCCAGGTCGCCCATCGCTTCTTTTTAAATATCCACACCTACATGACAATATTCATGAATCAGTTGAATTTGGTTCAGCTGATGAAAAATGGTGAAAAGAAGTGGATAATAGAGAATTTACATAAAAATCTTGAAGAGAATTATGGCGTCTACATGGCACAAACAACATTAAATAATTACTTATTACCTTGCCAGTCCAATTTCATTGCCACGAAGGTACACCATCATCCAGCGTGGGTCTCGGTTGCTGGTGTTTCACGTACTGAGACATATGAACATCCTGATAGTCACTATTATTTTGTGTCCATTTTTGCTAATATGTCAATAATCATCTCTCAAGATGATAAAGCGAAGATAGGTCTCGGCGTGCCCACTGTAGGTCGAACATTTCACAGATTGCAATCAATCAATGATCCTATTTGTGTACCAGATCATGATTTCTCTATAGGGTTTGAACAAAAACTAGTTTTATCAGTATACCTTATAATTAATCCAAATAAATCAAATGATGAGCTACGAACAAGACAGCTTGCCATTTTTGTACGCTGCCAATGGTCTCTCAGTACATCTTCACTTACGCATATTCATGATCTTGAAAGTCTTACTTTAAATCTCCAATATGATGCTGTGTTAAAAACTAATAGAGAAATTCGACCAATCTGGGTATTATTAGTGGACGGGGGACCGGATGAGAACCCAAGACACCTAAAAAATATTAAGTCATATTGTTTGCTTTTTTGAAAGTTCAATTTGGATTATTTGACTATAAGAACAAATGCCCCAGAACAATCCAAATATAATTCTGTTGAGAGAGAAATGGCGACGCTTTCTGGTAAATTGGCAGGCATTGTATTATCAATTGATTACTTTGGAACACATCTAAATTCTCAGGGTAAAGTAATTAACCCAGAGTTGGCCCTTAAAAATTTTAAATATGCTAGAGAAGCTCTCTGCAATATTTGGAGTCATGATTTGATTTTTGGAAAGCATGTAAATGCACAGTATGTTGAAGAATTT